TGTTTTCGAACGGCGCGCGTAACCTCACATAAGAACGCATCTTGACGGACAGTCGCTCGCTTTGGGCGTTGCGAATGCGCCTTGGCGGACTGTCTGAAGAAGAAAACTGGAATCACTAAAGTGGCATTTTTGTAGATTTTCGTAGACTCGATTTCGAGATCTCAGGATTGACTGCACCGATTTTATTCGGACTGGTCTCAATTGAAAGTTTGTATCGACATAACGAAAGTGTCATTAGATTTTTCATTAGAACTTTCGTTTCCGAAATATTAAAAATCGGAAATCTGACGAGGCAAAACTTCCAGATAAAGCTAAGCGGTAGCGCAGTGCCAGTGCCGTATACTCACAAGTCATCACCCGACTTTTATATACTTGGCGTCGCGCCGCTACCGCAGCGCTTGATAATATTGATATATACGCATATCACAAATACGTAAATTTTGAATTTGTTTTTAATTTCATAAGATTAGCTTCTGACTGAAAATGTAAAACAAAAAATAAAATTTAAATTTAAAAAATAATAGAATATAATAAAGTTGAATACTTGAATACTGAGCTACACAATACAGAAAAACAACGTTTGATAAATAATAAATTAATGTTAGAAATAATTAATTAAAACACAATTTCTTAAATAATGTAACTTTTATATTGTTTTAAAAGTAGATTATGCAGAATATTAAATTCTGTGTTCAATGTATCTAAAGAAGATTATCGCTGTTACGTTTTTTATAAATAATGTTGTTACAATAGTTTAATACGTTCAGTTGAGAAAAAGAAAAGTTGATATTAATATGTTATCTTGGCGGTAGCGTGTTTGTATGTGTGTTTTGAGGAGCTTGTATACGATAAAGGCAGAAAAATATATCGGCCGCTGTGGGATTTGAACCTAGGTCCTTTGGAGCTTGAAGCGTGCGCGTTATCCACTGCGCTAGCAGGTCAGGTAGTTGGTGTATGTTCTTTTGTATTTTTGTGTGAGCGGGGGACCACATTACCTGATTTGTCAATTTCGGAACTCGTCAATATAGTTCTAAAATTCTACAAAAAACTAACTACTCGTTTTGAAATTGTTGAGAACTTATTGCAACATTAGATGTAGGTTTTAAAAAACTGTCGGCTGTCGATGTTGATGGTTTGTGAAAAATTATTATAGGTCTTCTCGGAAAAATGTTACTATTTCTTGTGAGAGAACTTAATATAGGAGGAGATGGGATCTTATTGCAAAATATTTCATTTTCATCAGAATCCGAAGAATCTGAATCAAGTCGAAAAGGTCTTTTCAGTTTTCTTTTTGGCCGATGGTCATCATATAATTCTATATCAGTCTCTAGAGTGTAGAGTAGTCGTAAAATCAACATCTACCAATCGTTTTCTCGCCTTATGGTAAGAAGTTAAAAAAATAACTATAAATACTGTATGCTATAACAATTATAAATTTTTAAAAAAATTGAAAATTAAATTAAGTTTAAAGTTAAACATTATTAATTCAAAAATTAAAAGCGCATATATCAGAAACAAATAAAAATTATATTCATTTTTTTAAAATTTAAGATAATAGATATACATTGTATACTATATAATACTAGTCTCCGATACAGTACATAACAAAATTACATGACAAAAGAAACACAGCGATATATACATATATATTTTTTATATGTACCATATATATACAGGGTGATTCAGAACAACCGTTTGTCCTTAAAATACCGTGTTCTTGACATAATTCAAAGACTATTTTTCCTTTACCAAAATTTTATCTGAAGTTTAGTTTTTAAATTATAAAAAAAAATAGTTAGCAAATTACGGGACGCACACACAAGGTAGGCAGGAGCGGCGCAAGTGACTGTCCGACGCGGGCGATTACTACGGACGCTCAGCTGCTCACTACACGCGATAACGCACTGACGTACATGCACGTGTGCGTAGCGTGCGTGCGTGCGTGCGTGCGTGCGTGCGTGCGTGCGTGCGTGCGTGCGT